GCCTTGTGTGAAGCTGCCCGGGCCCTGTTCTTTCCGGGTGCTGCAGGGGCACTGGGCACCCATGTGCCACCCCAGGCAGAACTCCATTCCTTGTCTGTCCTCCAGCACAGGCCTGTGCAGCAGCTCTCGTGCCACCATTCAGCCAGTGCAGGTGGACTGGTCAGTGTCCAGGTGCAGGAGGAAGGATGTCTCCTCCTCTTCACTGATGCTGAGCCTGAGCATAGGCTCTGGCCAGGAAGTTGCCTTCTAAGATATTTTAAAAGACTGCAGAATATTTCAGTGCATAGTTGTACCATAATCTTCTTAACTAGTCCCCTTTTGTTTGAGATTTCATTCAATTTTGGTTTGGGGCTTTATAAGCAATGCCACAAAGAATGTATTTACTGTTTATGTAAAAGTGTCCATGAATCAGAAATAGTTGCATTTTCCAAACCATTAACCAGCCCAGTCCTGGGGATGAGAAGGAGACAAGTGGGAAGGCTTCTGGAAGACTCCCAAATCATCTCTAATTACAAGTCAGAATCAAAGGCATTTGTTCATTCAACAAGTTGGGTAACCATATAGGGTTTTCCTCAACATTCCTAAGCACCCACCATGTTGGGCACTGTCCTCAGCACTGGGGACATGGGGAGGGGAGGTGATGGAGGTTATGTTCTGGTGACCCCAAACCAAATCAGACCTCCCCGTGGAGAGGGAAGGGATGGAAGAGAGTGGCTGGGGGTGGGTGTCTCCCCAAAAGGCAGTCAGGGCAGGCCTGGCCCAGGAGGAGGAGCCAGCTTCTGAGGAACTGGAGGAAGAGTGTTTCGGGCAGAGGGACCCAAGTGCAGAGGCCCTGGGGCAGGAGCGGGAGCCAGGGGGGCAGGGGGCTAGAGCTGCAGGTGAGGCTGGCGGACCTGTGTGGAGGAGCACAGGTTACAGGCTGCCAGAGGGAGACAGGCTCCCACCGTGGCGCATTTCCACTTCCTCTTGGTGCAGAGGGAGGCCCGCGGGGGCTTTTGTTCTGGTCCTGCACTCAGGCCCGCGTGAGCAGGACCTGCGTAAGCCGGGTGGCAGGATGGGAAGAGCTGACCAGAACTGGAGGTCACGGTGCTTGTCAGGCTCGCTGCCTGCCTGCCTCCCTGCCGCCCCCAGAGTGTGCCCCCGCCGGGCCTTGGCGCTAGGGTCTGGACCTGCGTCCGGCAGACTCACCACTGCAGCCTCCCTGCCTCCCTGGGCCTCATGCTGTGGTTACCTGCCTGTGGGCTGCGCCGGGCCCTGGAGGGCCGCCACACGGGCAGGTGGCAGACACGGAGTCCTGGCATCACTGGTTTTCAGAGGTGTCTTGAGGGCAGCCACGCGGTCTTGACTGAGTGACCTCAGTCTCCACACCTGATGGTCCAGGTGATAGGTCAGGGAGACGTGAAGACAGCAGCATGCGGAGGACACGGGCTGGCCTTTCCCGAATCCCTGGCTTTCTCTATTGGCTTCACCTCTGAGAATTTCAGTTTCCTGTTCAGTTAAGTGAGAATAACTATTCCTATCTAAAAGATGGCCGAGAGGTGAGCCAGGTGCGGCATGGAGGGGGCAGATCCTCCCTGGCAGGTGCTTCTCTGGGGACTTGGAGTCTTGGTTCACTCTGGGACTCAGCAGGGACTTCTTCATCCTGTTCAAGCCCAGGTGACCGTCCCCTCTGCCCAGAGTGCTCATTCTCAGCAGCAGGAGGCCTCGATAGGCCTTTCTGTCCTATCCCTGTGTCCCCTGTGTCCCTGCTTCCTCAGTGCAGGAGAGTGGGAGCGAAAAGCTCACACAGGAAAAGGCTCTGAAGAGGGAAGAGGAGCCCGGCCTCAAGCCCTCAAGCCCTCAAGCCCCTCAAGCCCCTCAAGCCCGGGGCTCTCGCCAGCCTCTCTGGCTGGAGTTTTTGAAACCTGATTTCAGCTCAGCAGATTCCGGTAGAGCAGCTGCCTGTCAGAGATCAGCCTGAAACGTGAATTTTCTTTTAACTTCCCACCCCCCTCCCAACAGCACATCGTCTGTGATATAAACAGAAACTGCCCCTCCCCTGAATACCTGCTGCTCTGCCCTGGTTTCCACAGCAAAGGTGGGTGGGAGTGGGGTGCCCTGCAGACACCCCTCGGGTCCAGTGAGGAAAACAAACAGAGCTAACACAGCTCACCACAGGGACCAGGGCCTCAGTGGACTGAGTTCACCCCTAATTTGGTCAACAAATGTCTAATAGGCGTCCCCTGTGTGGAGAATGGTCCTAGAAAGTGGAGACCTAGCCCTCTCGTTGAGGAGGATCCAGTGGTAAGAGAGGACACCCAGCACCAGTGCAGCCCGAGACAAGCCCGGAAAAGGCTCTTAGCAGAGAGAGGGCTGGGGGGTCCTGAAGGACGAAGGGGTCTGGAGAGTAGGGAGGAAGAAGGACCAGCATGGGCACAGAGTCAGGCCCAGGCTTGAGGAGCCAGGGCCTTCAGAGGCCTCCAGGACTCCCCAGCTGCTGGCGGAGGTGGCTGTGGTGGGACGGCTGTGCGTTGGACCTGTGGACGTGGGCTGTGAGCGCACCAGGACCCTTGCAGACGGCAGCCTTTGGAAGGCAGGAGGAGGAGGGAGGGCCCAGCGGACTTGTCTTCAAGTGCAAGGGGAACGGGCCCAGTCAGGAGCGTGCAGGGTGGGCAGCCAAGCTGTTCCCACGCCCCAGAGGCCAGGAGGTTCAGATGCCAAGCTCCTCTTTGGATGGGCAGCCAAAGAGCCAGGCTCCATGATTCTCTAGAATGCACCTCTTTTTAAGTCCAGTTTGTCACAGAATTGCCACAAAACTATCCCCTTAGGGGTCTGCGGCAGGTCATTTTGACAGTGATTCAGGCTCTGCACAAGTTCCCCGACAGTCAGCTTCAGCTTGTTCCTGTCCCCGTCCACCTGGAGTCTCGGTCTAGTTCTTCATGGTTCCACTAGAGGTGAACTTTACAGCTGTCATTTGGCCCTTGTCACAGCTCTGCTTAAAAATGCTTCAGGATAAAGTCCAGGCTGTGGGGCCCCGTGCTCCACCCTGGCCAGCTTGGTCCCTCCAGCTCTTCCCACTGGCCAATGTCCTCATCCTCCCAGATACCTGCAGAGCCTGGGGTGCACGGCCTCCTCCACGTTGCCCCAGACTCTTCAGGTCCCCACTTCAGCCCAAGTCCTGGCAGAAGCCTTCCCGAACCACCGCCTGCCTCCCCAGCCCCACCATCTTCCTGCTTCCACACAAGCTCACGCTTGGAAGCAGGCGTTCACATCACTTTATGAACAACTCTGGGCCCCCCTTCTTCTGGCTCTGCTAAGTCCCCACACTTCTGTGTCCATGCATCTGACCCTGGTGGTCAGGCTGGCCCTTTCTGGCCTCCTTGCCACCATCCGGGTTCACACGTCTTCCCAAGTTCTACGGGGACTGCCTGCTCCTGGGCCTCCCTCTCGCCCTGGAGCGTCGCTGCACCCCCGGGCTGTGGCCCTCGGAGGCCAGGTGCACCTTTTTAGGACTATAAAGCTTAGAAATCAGAGCATCTGGCAGCCCAGTTCTCCCCAGCTCCTGCCCATTCCCGCATTGGTCCAGGGGATGCAGTAGCAGTGTGCACCCTGGGCCCGTGTCTCGGGCATGACATCTGTTGTCATGAAGGGCCCACGCTGGCTTCTCTTCTGTGGCCACCTGGGGAGCCACTGAGTCGCCCATGGTTCCATTTTGTACTGTGCCTGCTCCTCGGCTAGTGCCCCATAACTGCCCACCAGGGCCTTGTGAGGCACCATGGAGAACATATGATGTCCACGTCCCTGCCAGCCAGCACCTGGCGACACCCTGCAGCGCCACCTTTGCCATTCCCTCAGCCATGGCCGCAGGCAGCGCTTCATTCCCCCGTGAAGCTCCAACAGACTACTCACCACCTTCTGCCGCACTTCTGACCCTCCAGGTTCCCAGCCCTGACACACTTTGAAGTCTGGGCCAGGGCCTGTTAGAAATGGGTTCCTGCTCTGTAGCCCAACAGGCCACTGAACCAGGCACCTTAGGGCCAGGCCTGTGCATCTCTCTTGTTAGCTCGTCCCCAGAGACCTGACACCTTCATCTGTGTGCCACTCTGATGAGTGGCAGAGGTTGGGAACCTCTATCCCAGGGATAAAACCTAGACCCCTTATGTGGCACTTGGCGTCCATTCCAGGCCACCCCCACCCCACTTTCTATGCCATGCTCCGGGGACTGCTGAGCCCTGCATGCCCCCACAGCCATTCCTCCCGAGGTCTGGGTGGATGCGTCTCCCTGACCTGCAGGGTTTTGAGCTTGCTCCACTGCCACACGTGGCCTTCCAGCCCTGAGGTGGCTCGCGGCCCCACCTCGGGAGCACTTCCTGTGGTCTGAGTGCTCAGCTTAGTGCTCATCAGGTGCTTCCACGGACAACACCTGAACCACGCAAGACAGCAGTGGCCCAGGCAGAGGTGCTTTCCTGAGCACCTACTGTGTGCTTCACCTGCAGGGGCCCCAGACCCAGCTGACCAGAGCAGAGTGCTTTCCTGATGGCAGAGGTCCCTGGTCCCTGAGCTCACCTGGGAATAACACCTGGCACCTTCACCTCCGAGTGCTTCTTCACGTGCCATGGCCCTCCCCACCTCGAGGCAAATGTGGAAGCCACAGGGTGGACACTGAGCAGGCCGGGCTCGTGTCCAGAGCTGGTGTCTTGGTGCCACTGTTGCATTTGCCCAGCATGCAGAGGCCCGGGTCAGACTGCCGCCTCCACAGAGTGCCTGGGACACGCCTGGGAGTCGTTCCCTCCCTTGGGTGCCCTGTGCAGTGCGGGGAAGGAGGCTGTTGGTGTCTGGAAGCCTCTGGATCCTTGGGGGGAGGCCTGGAGGCTGGTGGGGAAGTGGAGGAGGAAGAGGCTGGCCCACGCACGCTCCCCTGCGGGTGTGCAGGACCCTGGCGACAGCTCTGGGGGTGAGTGGGAGCCTTGGGGACGTTCCAGGCTCCAGTAACCGCCTCTCTCCCCTCTGCCTCTTTCCAGGCACATCTCTCTAACGCTCCCCGCCACCTTCCGAGGCAGGAACAGCAGCCGGACGGACTATGAGTACCAGCACTCCAACTTGTATGCCATATCAGGTACGTGGGGTCTGTGTCCGGTGGCATCTGCCCTGCGGGGACCCCGCCTCCCCTTGCCTTTGTGTTACTGCGGCACTTACAGAGATGGAGAGGCCAAGTGCTCAGCAGGCTTTGAAACTAATGATGGAAAACAGCGTGTGGGGTTCGCAGGCTGGAAGGGAGGGTCAGAGAACACCCTCCCCTGCTGGGCCCCGTCTCCCACCGGATGGGGAGCAGTGCCAAGCTGAGTAGTGGGGCCAGCACCCTCCGCTCATGTCTCACAGCCAGACTGTGTCCCAAGGCGGCACCGGCCGTCTCCCCTACGCGCCCAGAGTGTGAGTCCATGATTTCTCAACCCAGCCTTGAAACTGACAGTGTCACCTTGGCAGGAGCCTCATCATTCCTGGTCCCCCTCCTCGCCTCCACCCGGAGGGACAGTTTACCAGGCTTGTTTCAGGTGTGGGCGTCCTTGTCCCTGGGCAGTGTAGGCCACTTGCCAAGAGCCCAGGAAACCACACTTGTCTCTGATTGTCTGGGGCCGCCAGTCGGTGTTTGTGTATAAGGGGGAAGTGGTAAATCGGTGCCACTTACCCGCGCACGCCCTTAATGGTGAGTGACGTTTTGAACGCGGGAACATGGCATTCATTCATGTACCATAATGAATCGGTTATTTAAAAGGTAATCTTTTTTCTAAAAATTGCAACTTCAGGTTACTAAACAGATGAAATAGAACAATGGCATAATTCTTGTCAGTATTAGTTTCTCTCGTTATGATCACTCCCTAATAGGTTTGGAAGTATAAGCAAAAGCCAGTTGTTCCATTTCCGGGCTGCTCTCCTGCTGGGAAGGGGAGGACAGGGGTGTTCTTAGCCCCCGCCCTGGCTCCACGCCAGGAGCCAGGCTCTCCCGGGGAAAAGGCGCGTGTTTGTCTAAGTGCAGCTTCTCCAGGGAGTTCTTTTATGCAGTGGCTATTTCGCCAGAGTCGACAGGGAGCAGAACAAGTGTGGAAAGATAACCTATTTTGTAGAAAAGCTGAATATGTCCCCAGATGTTTAGTGGCAGAGTGGCATGTAACAGGCCCAGGAAATCCAGCAGGCAGGGCTGGTTGCAGTGCAGGCAAGGACAGCCATCAAACAGATGACTTTTCGCCTGCAGCCTCTGCTCTCTTTCCAGTGCAGTGTTGGGCTGCACCCACCTTCCCCGCATCCTCCGACGGCTTTCCCAGCTATTGGGGTTTCTGCGGCAAAGAGCCGGGAGTGAAATCTCTGGTTTGGCAGGACTCTTGCTGCCTGCCTCTGGACCGCTGCTTCCTCGCCTTGCGGTTGATGAGGTGTTGTCCGGGTGCGTTTCAGCTGTTAGTGTAGCAATACCAAGGTAACTGCCTCAAGACACAGGGGAAGCCATTCAGAAACTTCCTGTTCTATTTATGTGAGTGGCAGTCAATGGGATTTTATCTTCCAGAGGCAGTTAGGGTCCCAGCCCACGTCAGGGGCAGCTCAGACTGCCTCCGAGGCTCTGCCAGGGCCCAGGGCTGCTTTGTAGTGATGCTGCCAGAAATACCCCGCAGGACCCACCGGCTCCACACGGCCTGCAAGCTCAGCACTGGACAACCAGGGCGCGACTGGGAAGCCTGCCCACCCAGCCCCTGGCAGCCGGCCTGTGCATGGTTCTGGCTAGAAGGGAGCAGAGACCACCCCCTCTCCCCACCTCAAAGAGGGTCTGGTGCCAAGTGGCACATCTCCATTTGGTATTACAAAGTTGAGGTTTGCAACAGTTTATTCCAAAACAGTTCCGGCAGAGTGTGCCCCAGGTCCTAGCCCCTGCCCGGCGCTGGCGCCTTCATGGCTGGAGTCTCGCTGCTGATGAAGTGAATCATCAAGCGCTTCTTCCAGAGCGACCCTGGCACATGTTCACTGCACACTCCTGGCCCCAAGCCCTTGCTGCAACCTCTGGGACACCGTGTTCCTCCTGAGGACCTCTGGTTAGTGCTCCCTAGTTTGTGGTCCCTTCCTAGGGAAAGTAGATCTCAAAACAATGGAATTAGAAATTTGAAGAGCAGTCCATATTTAACGCATAGGGATGGGCTTTTACTTTTAGTTATTGTCTCAATGGCGTGCCTGTTWATGAACTCATTTTCCTGGACCTTGTGCTGAGACAGGCCTCCTGCGCTATACCTGCGAGGCAGAGCCACTGCTCTGGGCTGCTGGAGGCACCGGCAGACCTGACACGCAGCTCTGTCCCCGGCACACGAGGCGCCCGTGAAATGTGTGTGGAAGAAAGGAGTTAACCTAGCATCTGCCTTGCCAGGAACACCCTCCAGGACCCTGGGGCAGGTGATCACCCTGATTGGCCTCCTCAATCCCCAGAGCCTGGGGCCACACCCTTCCTTCCGGAAGCAGCCCCTTCTGTCTCCGAGACCCTTGCTCCTCAAGCTCCTCTGTCTCCTGCTCTCACAGCCACTCAGCAGCTTGGGGCACTCTGCGTTCCATCGGCCAAGTTTGTCAGCTGGTCTCCACAGTGGAGCAGATGTTTCTCTTGTCCACAGAAGAGGGGAGGGACTTGCATGGGCCCAGTGCTGGAATCCTGAGACGCCCATGTCCCTCGCCCTGCCAATTCGTTCCCCAGTCAGAATGGCCACGGAGGAGACCTTTGGTCCTCACGCTTCCTCTTCTAGGAGTCTCTTCTAGAAAATGCTTACAGATGTGCAGACAGACTTATCCAGAGGGTAAGCACGACTGCCTTTGAAAACCACAGCTCCAAAAGAGGGATGGAGGCAGGTGCTGAAGCGTAAGTGCCAGCCAGTGGCCTTCACTTCCCCRCTGTCCAGAGGGGGACGGCTTAGTTGGGAAGGTGAGGGGGAACGGCAGCGACTAGCCAGCGTGTTCAGGTGATTTCGTGTGAAATGTGCACGTCTGAAGGTCTTAGAGGCCCACGCCCAGGGAGGTGGGGTCTGCCCGACTCTCCCGTCCTGTCTTCTTCCCCAGCTTTCTGGCCATTTCCCATTTTCCTGTAATAGCGTTTGTCACTGTTGTAATAAGATACAGACCTGGCGTTAATGTGGCGTCTTCTCGGTAAACCCCAGGGGCCCCTACAGATCACCCAGGTTTTTCCGAGTGCTCATAAGCTGCCTGGCTTGCACTGTGCTTTCAGGGCTTACTGGAAATCGCTTCCAGACCACAGATCAATAACTTTCTTGTCCTGCCTTGAGAATATAATTGCGCTTGTCGTCCTGTCCCCTGAGCCCTGCTCAGCGAGCCTCTTCCACGCTCCCTGGCTCCTACTTTCACCCTCACGTCCCACTGGCCAGCAGCTGGTGGAGCCGTCACCCCAACTCTGTTCTTGAGTCCAGGTCAGTTCCCACGTCACCGCTCGTTGGTTTGGAGGTGGCCTTCATAGAGAAGGAGCTGGGAGGGAAGTGGCAGCTCCAGGCTTGATTCAGGCCGTCCCTTTGTGTTCAGTGGCAGCCAGCCTCAGCCTGGGGCCACCTCCCTCTCATAGCCTTCCCTGGGATCTGCACTTTGTAAATAGTCCAGAAAAGGGGAATCATGTTTAGTGGAGTGTGAAAATGACACAAAATCCAGATCAAGTTCTTTTGGCGCCCAGCCGTACCTGGTTGTCTCTGGTGCTCCCACATGGCCCCCAAACTCAGGCCCCGTCTGCAGCACCTGCCTGACGGGGGTCCCGGGGGCGCGCTGCTCCTTGTCTTTTTTCCTATCTGAACTCCTCTGGGAAAGCACCCGTGTTCCCTGTTCTCCCTTTTGGTGAGTGGTGGCTTGTGCTTCCCAGGCTCCTGTGCTGTCCCTCTCCAGTGGCCCTGTGGTCCTGGGGGTTCAGACATGCCTGAGGTCTGCCTCTGGGGGCCCTCCACAGCGCTCCTGTCCAGCCTGCCCACAGACGTCCTCCTCAGTCTCTTCCCGCCTGCCGCTGTCCTCTAAGAGCGTCTCCCCTTCCTGAAGCCTTCCGTCTTAGTCCCCATGCCCAGCCTCCCTTGCTCCCCGGACAGTGCACCTTCACTCGTGTCTGTTTCACCTGGTCCTGAAGGATCTGCAGCAGCCCCTCAGACACAGAGCAGAGCGGGAAGGGACGCCAGACGCGAGAGTCACTGGCAGCGGGACAGAAGCAGACGCAGCTGTGCCAGGGCTCAGGATTTGGTCCTGAGCCGGAAGCCGTGTCCCTTCCGAGTGGTCCCAGGCTCAGTGCCGAAGACCACACAGAGCCCGGGCAAGGCCTCTGCCGCCAGCTGTGTCTGTTATTTTCAGACAGACCCTCCTCAGCTCCGCCCTTGCTGCACCACACTCCCCGTGAGCGGTGACCCTGTAGATGCGTCTTAACCCAGTCCCCGCACCGCCTGGCGCTGTCTGTGGGGAGGGTCCTGTCAAGAGCCATGGCAGAATTCCAACACGGCCCAGTGGCAGTGACCCTGAGTTTGGCAAAGACAGACTGTGTCTCGGGGGGCACTCAGGTTGAAGTGACCCTAAGTGACCCTAGGGTGTCCGAAAGTTGAGTAAAGGGCTGTAAGGGGACCAGAGGCCTCGGGATGCGGGAGGGACGGGCGTTGCACCCACACCTGCCAAGCATCTGGCCACTTCCTGAGGCTGGGCAGGAGAGGAGGCTCCGCATGCCCCTCCCAACCCAGGCATGCCTCCCTCCCCTCGGTCCCTGGCAGCCTTTGCTCAGGTGTGAGACACCAGAGGCCGGGAAGCCACATGCGCTGCCCTCCATCATTGCCGCTGTTGTAGACCACCGGTTTCTCTCCAAGAATGGAGGTTTTCCTAACCACAAAAAACTTACATTTCTCCCTTTAAAAAAAAAAAAAAGTGGCATGGTGGTGTAAGACAGGAAAATCGAGCAGATGCCACTAAAACCGGCGTGCAGTAAGACCGAGGCTCCCAGACCCCCTGCACCCAGGACACAGTGCGGTGCAGACTGCCAAGGCCCGGCGGTGCTGGACGGGCCAGGGCGCTTCTCTGAGCAGTTGGGAGGCTGTGGGGCTCCTCGCGTGCCACCGGCGTGCCACTTGA